TCAGGGCCAGATTAACCACGTGGCAGATGCGGCATATGCCGCGGGCCTCGCGCTTATGGGGGCCTCGCACTTTACTGTGCCACGCCCATTTTTACGAGAACACGCCCATTTTCTATTGGGACACACCCATTTTAAGTGCCTCGCGAATTTAGATGCCTCGCAAATTTAGGGATCTTGCGCATTTAGGGCCCCTAGGCTTTGGCAGTTTGCCCCTGGAAAATATGCAATACCCGTATGCATGTAATCTCCAGTTGCGCTGAGGTTGTTCAAGCACCCAAATTAGCAAAATATAAAGGTTTCATTGATGTTTGAAACCAGTTTTAACCGGTAACGGAAAATTATTCAGAAATCCTGGTGGGGATAGCTTGGCTGCGAAATTGCGGTGATTTACGGATAAAATTGAAAACAATTATTTAACAATTTTGTGTGTCTTTGAATTCAAAGGTTTTCATAACGAGGGGGGCTCGCGCTGAAAATCTGCCACGGGCCTCGCGCTGACGTTAATCCGGCCCTGACTGTATCTACCGTCTTGGTAGTGTAAATACGACACAGGTCTTACGGCTCGTATGGATTTATGGCCGATAACCGATCAAGCTATCTTATAGTTATAGATACACAACAACTGTGACGACAGGACTTTAAAAGTGTACTATATTTATCTTCTACGAACCGTCAAACTACAATATAAACAAAATAAGCTAAAATTACAAAAGGAAGATTCGAAATATACAGCAAAATATAGCAATACTTACGACTTGTGTGCCGACTGTAAGCATGCCACTTGGCGAATCTTAAGTTCCTAAAAGCGGGCGACTAACATGCATAGCAACCCAAGATAAACAACTGAGAGGGCGTAACAACCACCATCTGCTTCACTACGAAACTTAACTGCATGCCCCACAATCTTAGCTCCTCCCCAAGGTCTATTTCTTGAGTATATGAACGATCCTGTAAATAATGTTTTCCTACTCGTGTAGATGGACAATTTGTGCACGTGTAACATCAAAATCCAACATCAGAGAGTGGTCAAACTCGCGCGGGGAAGGACGCTTGTTTAGTGTTGATTTAATTGATGAGTCTGTAAGTGTGCTCACTGTTTGGTCTCTAACCTGAGGTGTGATTCTTGTAATTTGCAGTGTCTGATTATAATTTCCCTTCAGGATCAATGAGAGATGATCCTTACTGGATCTCTAGGAAGAACAGTTTAGAACTGATAGAGCTATCCAGTATAAATAAAGTTAGTTTAGTTTAGGTTTCCTCCTGTAGTAACACTGGATCAATAAGAGATGATCCTTACTGAACCTCTAGGAAGAACAGTTTAGAACCGATAGAGTTATCCAGTATAAATAAAGTTAGTTTAGTTTAGGTTTCCTCCTGTAGTAACACTGGATCAATAAGAGATGATCCTTACTGGACCTCTAGGAAGAACAGTTTAGAACTGATAGAGCTATCCAGTATAATAAAGTTAGTTTAGTTTAGGTTTCCTCCTGTAGTAACACTGGATCAATAAGAAATGATCCTTGCTGGACCTCTAGGGAGAACAGTGTAGAAATAAAAGAGCTATCAACACTTTCTCCAAGTACTCCTCACCGATTAATCTTAGACAGTAGGTAAACTGGACGTTTATGTTTTTGTAGGGAGAAATAAGAGCAACATGTTTTACTGATTTTGTGAACAAGTTTTATCCAATGCTTGAACAGAATAAGGTACAGATATGAAAGACCGAACATTATTGTCTCACTGTGATAACTGCAGATTGACCACCATCAGCTGCACGATGGTGCTTAATGAAACCCAGTTATAATGAGGAACTTTCTCTTGCAGGTTTACTACATATCAAAGGGAAACCTAAAACCAGCAAACAAAAAATATTCTTCTATCAACAATGATTATGAACTCACATTCAGCCACGAAACCACAATTGAGTTGGTAAGCGATGGGTAATTAATTTAATTGTCGGAAAGGATATTTATCGTATATAAAAACGCCTAAAAGGCCGTATATAAAACGCCTAAAATTGTCCTTTGATTGGTGTAACCCAGAGAAAACTTTAGTATTTATAAATTAAAGTTTTATTTTGTTAATTGGGAGGTTCGTATGCGTAGTTTTATAGCATTTCAAGTAATTTTACCACAGCTATGAAAATGGTGGATAACGTCGCTTTACGAGGCACTGCTTTCAGGGTATCCGGCCTTTGTACCACTGGTCCCAGAGGGTGAAGTGTATCTATTTTAAAGAAGTAAATCTCACATCTTGTATCATCTGTCTAGTGTACTGAGGACAGCAACTTGCCCACACTCCAGTTTAACTTTCGTGAAATTGCCACAATTCCAGAAGTGCAACCTGACAACCTCATTGGTAAGTTGATTTGAATTTCCTGAAACACGACCTTGAAATTCTGTACCAGGCCTGCACTTCGTGTTTACGAGATAACTTCTCAAACGAAACAGTTTTCAAGAAAAATTTAGCATGAAAACTTTACTTATTAATCTATGGACGGCGCCATGATTTCCCACGTGTTTTTTGTTCATGAATGAAGAATTAGTAACCGGAGTTTGGAAATATTTTATGAACATGTTGAGTTTATTTTCGTTCAGATCTAATTGGTGTCTGTACAAACATCTCCGATATCATGGAAATTACCACCAGAGCTGGTAAACAGGTCAGTTAAACGATTGCTAACTACTGTTAAATACATATTTAGAGATATACAGAGGGGAAACTCGCGGCAAATTGTGCCACGCCGATATATTAAGTCTACTAACTATATAAAATTATATTAATTCGCTATTTTATTAAATTTTGATAATGCAGAGGAGTAAAACTATACATATTGTAGAAGTATTCATGGTTTTTTATTCAAAAGTTATATTTTGAGGAATTTATATCATTCGCTGCTTTGTTATTTATACATAAGCATCTGAAATTCCCTGCCAGTGCTTTTCACGACTTTAATAAGGAGTAGATAGGGGAAAAAACAAACTTTTGCAAAATAAAATGTTATGTTAACACTTTTAATAAAAGGAAATCAATAAAAGTGATCGCTTACCGTTATTCCACAATAATTTATTGAACCAAATTTCCATGGGTATCTCATTTTTTTTAAAAAAGCGATTTTCACCTTTAGAACGGCGTTTTCCCTATCTTTTGCTTTGAAATTTCAGCGACGGCACTGGCTGGAAGATTTTGCGTGGCGCGTGGAACGCGTGACACAAATATTGAGGTTATCGAGTTTCCTCTCTGTATATCTTTCCTCTGTGTCTGAGGGGCCATCGTCAGAACGAGCGCCTCCCGAGATCCTGGGGTCGATTCTCGCTGCGGATACTTACGTGAAAATGAGAGTCATCAACGCTCTACCAAAAGCCGTGGGTTTTCTCCGGGTATTCCGGTTTCCACACAAGGGGTAGGGGGCAGGGACGTTGCTATAGGGTGTGGGGGGTGTACCACACCCCCAATAATTCAAACGTTGGTCAAAGTTGATCAAAATGGAACAGGTATTTGCCCAAAGTTGGTCAAAATGGAACTGATATTTGCTTAAAATTGAAGGTAAAACTCGGAAAAATTTGGTCAAAGTTTGGGATAAAAGATGGTCGAGTTGCTGAAAGTTATGAAATTGTTGGCAATTTGAACAATTTTAAAGCTTTTGTTATGTTTGTTTTTGACTATGCTTATGTTAGCCCGGAAAATTTTTTTTGACTCCCCCCGTCGACAACATTTTCGGGAAAAATTTGTACTACTTGGTCAAAACCCTAGGAAATGTTGGTCAAAACATGACGGTAATGTTGATGGCTTCGCGACGTCCCTGGTAGGGGGTATTTGTGTGGGAGAGGGGTAGGGTGTACTTGTGTGGTCCTTCGCAATTTAGCTTAGCTCTGAGCTGCAAGTAAGGATGATTAATTAAAACATCCACTTCCGATTTAATGAATTATTATTTTGAATATTTCTTGGTGTAGGTTTCGAAACGTGATATCTCTTTATTGGACCAAACTGCTGCTGTCAACTGCACACTTTGGGGAGCAGATGTAAAATTTTCCTTTACGTTTTTACTGATTTTCTTAAATTCGATTACGATACTCAGTTTGCTGCTGCTGTAGCTACATCTTACTTAGCATTTTTGTAGTGATATAATTTTCACCCCTTTTGATATCACTCTTAGGCGGAAAGCTTTGAACAGTATGCTGGCTCGAATCCAATTGTTGCAATCAAAGGAGCCAAGGTTTCGGATTTTGGCGGTAAGAATTTAATGATACATATATCGCACACGCTTGCAGGGGCACAGGAATTATGGGGCAGTGTGGGCGTAGTTGCCCCCCCTCCCCCGCTACACACATGTACGGATCTACCATCCCTCACATAGGACGATTGTTTCTTTCAGGTCGTTCTCTAAGTCTCTTAGGTTCAAGTGTGATGCAAGTTGACCCAGACAACTTACAGGAGGCCTTTAAACTCCGAGGATGGTACGTTGTTTTAAGTAGATATAAATATAAATTCTCTCTAAGGCTTTTAAAGATGCTGCACAATACGTTCTACGCATGTGTACTTTGGAGTCTCCTGCCTTGATATAAACAGTTCAATTAGGTTTTTATGTCGTTGCAAAACCTGATTGTTGTGCCTTGATCATTTATTATACTCTAGAAGCATGAAAAGACTTCAAGTGTGTTGACATAACTTCTTAAACGAATCAGTATTTCATGGGAAATTTAACGTGATGGTTGAGTTTATTTGTGGGCGGTTTATTGCCGTAGAATCAAGACAACGATACGTTGCTAGTTTCCTTTGTGTTTTGCTTTTGTTTTGGACCTTTGGTTTCCTTTGAGAGAAGTATTTACAGCGTGTAAGAAATAGAAAATTTATCGTTGTTAAATTATCTAGGTATGACAAAGAAGGCAATGCAGAAAACATTGCTTCCATATCTGGTCAAAGGGGTGAAGGAATAAGTAAGATAAATTACGTGTAACTAAACTTGATTTATACTGGATAGCTCTATTAGTTCTATGAGAGGTATATGTATACCACCATACCTCCTACACGTTATCTAATCATCATTTAAATTTCTCTCGTTAAATATATACTTGATTAATTTCTAGGTACTAATGTTTACAAAACTATCTCTGATATTAAGACAGAAGGCTTGGGAATGTCAGAAAAGGTATATACTTGAAATGAAAAAATAAAATTATGATTGTTATAAAAATGTGGTAGTCTAGTGTTACTATTTAGTAGTATTCCAAAATAAGCTGTCGTGTTTTCTGTCTGAACTACCTGAAAAAGATATCTCAAACGTGGTGGTCCAGTGTAGGTAGTATTCTACAATAAGCTCTCGTGGTTTGTGTCTGAACTACCTGAAAAAGATATCTCAAACGTGGTGGTCCAGTGTAGGTAGTATTGCACAATAAGCTGCCATGGTTTATGTCTGAAATTCCTGAAAAAGATATTTCAAACGTGGTGGTCCAGTGTAGGTAGTATTCTGCAATAAGCTGTCGTTGTTTGTGTCTGAACTACGTGAAAAAGATATCTCAAACGTGGTGGTCCTGCAGTGTAGGTAGTGTTCTAGCTTGTTCTGCAATAAGCTGTCGTGGTTTGTGTCTGAACTACCTGAGGAGGTAGTGTTCTGCAATAAGCTGTCGTGGTTTGTGTCTGAACTACCTGAGGAGGTAGTGTTCTGCAATAAGCTGTCGTGGTTTGTGTCTGAACTACCTGAGGAGGTAGTGTTCTGCAATAAGCTGTCGTGTTTTGTGTCTGAACTACCTGAAGAGGTAGTGTTCTGCAATAAGCTGTCGTGTTTTGTGTCTGAACTACCTGAGGAGGTAGTGTTTTGCAATAAGCTGTCGTGGTTTGTGTCTGAACTACCTGAGGAGGTAGTGTTCTGCAATAAGCTGTCGTGTTTTGTGTCTGAACTACCTGAAGAGGTAGTGTTTTGCAATAAGCTGTCGTGTTTTGTGTCTGAACTACCTGAAGAGGTAGTGTTCTGCAATAAGCTGTCGTGGTTTGTGTCTGAACTACCTGAAGAGGTAGTGTTCTGCAATAAGCTGTCGTGGTTTGTGTCTGAACTACCTGAAGAGGTAGTGTTCTGCAATAAGCTGTCGTGTTTTGTGTCTGAACTACCCTTTGTCAAGGCTCGTTTACGACATTCTTCTGATACATGTGAACTCATCCACACGTTCACATCGATCAGAAGAAGTAAATCGCAACAAAAATGACAAGACAGTGTTAACGGGACTTCAGGAGGTCCGTCGAAGTACTTTCCTGTTTTTCATGTAGTTCTGCTTGTTACCAAAGCTAGCCGCATGATTATAATGTTTGCTGAGATAATATTGTTTCGTTTAGCCCGACTATTTCAATGTGATTGGAACTGTTTGCTACTACAGGAAAGAAAACTGTTTGTACAAGGTTTGTTTGAAATTTAATTGCATGAAATTTCAAGGGGGGGGGGGAGTTTAAAGAACTAAGATATCCAGCAAGAAAATGCGGTGGCATCCTAAATTCACCCCCTTATATTCCCTTGCGTTTTGTCAACTTGTCTATACGACGATAACCAGATCTAAGATAGCGTTGGTTCTTTCGATAGAATCATGGACGATCTACACCATAGTTTGAATATGTACTATTTAAAGCACGCGTAGTCGTGTTTTATATCTGATAAAACACGACTACAAGTGCTTTAAATGGCATAAAATAGACTACAAAAGAATACTAATTAGGATGAACCATTATATAATCATACTAATTAGGATGAGTTTTATCAGATATAAAGTCACTCCACGTGACATGTTATGCCTGACATGATTTGCCACCAGATTTATGAATTTTAATGAGTATTTTAAGTATTATTTACACTAACACACAAGTTCAAAAGCGAGTGCGAAAACCATATACAACAAGACAGATTATCATTGATTATCCTAAATGTCCCAGTTATCCTAAAGGTGCAAGTGTAATTCTATCCTAGTTTAATTAACCAACCATGTTCGATATAAGATATTAATAATGAACTCTTATATTAGAATGTGTGAAAGATACTTATAGTGTTTAAAATACTGTCAACTCTCGACAGCATGAAGTTTGTATTTATCTATTTGTATTTCCCCGTTGACGTGTATTGTATCGTTAGGCATGTCCGAAGCAAGATTGTAATAAGAAAGTTATTGAAGACGGCGACCACTACCGATGTGAGAAATGCAACCAAACTTATCCCAACTTTAAACACAGACTTCTTCTGAGGGTAAGTCGAAAACGTCAACATTTAACAGCCGGGTCCCACTATCGTGCAACAGATGGTGGTATGAACCTGCAGTTATAATAATAATAATAATAATAATAATATTTATTCAGGAAGCTCCACTCACCGACGTGTTTTTCAGGGAGGTCCTGTAATATATATTTATATTATACATGGTAAACTATACTAGCTATGCTTATTTAAAAACTATAAAATATTTACAAATGGATTATATATAATTATACTTCATAGTTAGAAAAAAAAACCCAAAAAACAAAAAAACTTGGTTATACAGTTGGTTAATATAAAAAAATTGTTCAAAAACTATTTTAGGTGAGTGTGGCAGACCACAGTGGCGAGCAATGGGTGACTTGTTTCCAGGAAAGCGCCGAACAGTTGCTTGGCCACACAGCAGATGAAATTGGCGAATCGAGAGAAACGGTACAGTACCACCTTAACAAAAGAACTGATAAAGCTATCTAGTACGAATAAAGTTAGTTTGGTGCAGGTTTCCTTCTGTAGTAACACTAGATCAATAAGAGATAATCCTTACTGCACCTCTAGGGAGAACAATTTAGAACTGATAGCGCTGTCCAGTATAAATAAATTTAGTTTAGTTTAGGTTTCCTCCTGTAGTAACACTGGATCAATAAGAGATGATCCTTACTGGACCTCTAGGGAGAACAATTTAGAACTGATAGAGCTATCCAGTGTAAATAAAGTTAGTTTAGTTTAGGTTTCCTCCTGTAGTAACACTGGATCAATAACGGTACTGTCCATGCAGTATAAATAAAGTTGAAATATAGTATTTAACCTAATGTCTTCTGATTTAAAAATTTCTAGGACGAGAAAGCGTTTGAACAGGTGTTTAATGAAAATGCTTTCAACAGAAGAATGTTTCGTATCAGAGCTAAAATCGACAAGTATAATGTGAGTGACAGTTTCTCGTCGAAACTCGGTTTATTTAGTTCAAATATTTAGAATTAAGTTTGATCGGGCGCCCAGAGGACTGGGATATAACTAATTTTACAATTGTGTTCTTAGGACGAAGCTCGTCTGAATTGTACTGCGGACAAAGTATTGCCGATAGATTTTCGTAAAGAGGGCAGACGTTTAGTTGAGGAAATTGACAAAATGATGGTTGATCAGTAACTCGACACTCGGATACAGGACATATTGAGTGGTAAAACTGTAAGTCCATTTCTAAACACTTGTTAAAGAAACCATGGTTTTTGTTGGGAACATATAAACGAATTCCCTTGATATTGTAATGCATAAATCCGTAATAGTGGCTGTTACGGTACGGTGTGGACTCTGAACTCTCAAACACCGGACTGTTGAACAGCGAAACTAAATTTTTGTTAAAGATTGGGATCATATAGACGCTCTGTCTGGTTGATATTGCAAAAAAATACCTAGCCATAATGTTGGGTAAACTACTTGTGCGAGAACTCTCTTATAGAGGACAAATTTTTGAGAGTTAAACTTTATATTGCCATTATATAATATGATGCAATGGCATTGTGAGCTCCACTAGAAATGTGTTGTGAGCTGTCAAAACACACAAGTTTTGGGATATACAGTAATTGTCAGTATTGTTATTATCAGTATTCTTGATTGAGTATTATTTTTCTGTTATTTAAAGCATGTAGATACATTATATTGCCATGGTATATGATTTTTCTGATCACGTGAACATATTCTTTGTCCACGTGAACTTATACTTTGTTCATGTGACCTTGTACCGCGGCAAGATGTTCATAGATATAAATGTTGTCGAGTTCTGGATTTATGACTACATCTGGGCCTTGGGTGCAATCCCACGAGTCCTCCACGAATTGATCACGCACAGTGTAGATATCGTGCGAGTTGTCCACGCGCGGCGAGGGATTCATACTGTACGGGTCTTCGAGGGTTTGTGAAATATCGATTTGATATAGAGGATCTTGTGCGTTGTTTCCATATTCCGGATTGAACGTTGCTTCGTGGGGTCTCGCGTGTTGTTCACACGCGGGGTACCCGAATTGGTCTCGCGTGGAATACGAAGGGTTATTCGAGTTAGCATAAATATTTTCTTCAGCAAACGTTTGGTTTCGTACATTGTCGAGACTATCGTATAGAAATTCTGGGACTTCTTGGTTTGAAGTACCGTAAATATTTTGTGCCGTATGGGTTTCTTCATCGGGGAGAGCGTAGGGTGGAGCTTCGTTTTTCTTGTTGTATGAATCGCTTTTTAGCGAGATTGTGATCTGGGAACTGGTTAGTTTTCTGAAGAAAATTGGAAATACGAGGAGTTACACGGATGTTTTTAGCAGAGATGTTCCCAAGAGGGGAGAGGGGAGTGTTCCTCTGATCTTATACTGCACTTTTATACAAATCTGAGGAAAAAATATCATGAAAAAATAACCAGGAAAAAAATATCAGGAAAAAATAATCGCAGGGCCGTAGGTTCAATTCCTACCAGAGGACCTTGTGCTGCATTTTTCGCAGTCGTTCCTGGTCAGGTCTGAAAATGTATATATATATACTCACTTGGATTACAAACCCTAAGAACAGCATTCAAATATATACAGACTCCATTTTGATTTTTTTTACTCCATTTTGATACCTGTTCTAGTCCATACTTAGACGTGTCCAAACGTACAAAACAGTGATGTTGTCTGGTCTTCTGCATCAAATACGCGAGCTGAATTTTGCAACTACAGATATATGAACTCACCTTAGTTTACTGACAAAGTTTTTCAAAATGACTCCCTTGAAAGCAAGAACGACAAGCACAATCAGAGCGAGCAGTGAAACACCGCATGCTATCGCTATGATGAGAGACAGGGCGACGTCTGAAAGGAAGCAAAGTTAACCAGTGAGCTCTATATATACTGGAGCGAGAACTCGAGTCCAAAAAGTGAAGCCAGCTTCGTGTTAACCGCGCCTAGAAAGGGACTGGCACTGGGAACCAATAGCTCCTTCTATTCCCGCCATCTTGGCGAGGAGTGTGCCGAAATTTTGACATCGATTTAAAGAATAAAGGCCCACACAGACCGAACGCGGTTCGAGAACGCGACGCGAATTTTCAATTTTTAAAACCAAATAAAACCGTCGAAGGATAAAAATTTTACAAGATATGCAGACCAAACAGCTAAAATTGCTTAAGTGGTTCCGAATATTTGAAAAACATAGAAAAATATTAATTTTAAGTGTCATTGAAAATTGAAAATTCGCGTCGCGTTGCCGAATCGCGTCCTGGGTCTGTATGGGCCTTAATACTACGGTTTTATGAACTGATAGCTTGGTTAGCGATACGGTCCGTTAGAAGAAAAAACTGGAATTAGCTGGGAAAAATGGTATAAAAACTGTTTACGACCTTCGGGAGCTATTGGACGTCAATGGCCGCCATCTTGTCTTCACAGAGCTCACCAAGGTTAACTCGCGGACAAGCGACTGAAATGTGTCAGACACATTCCCATTTTTCGTGTGTCTATCCGTCTAACAACACAGGAAAGTTATACTCACCTTCTGGTGGTGTATATTCCAACACTCCTATATGAAATAAGATACAAGAATGAATATCTGCCATACGTAGCTTTGCATAAATGACAACTGACAGAAAATTTCATCAGGGGGATGGGTTCACTAGACGCGCTTGACTACTGACCCCCAAAATGAAATGATGTTGAAATGTTACGACCTACCAGTTGTCGCTTGCCCGACCGGTCCTATTCCTTCCTTAGTTTGCGCCCGAATCTCGACAACACGCTGGGAACTAAAATCCCCACCGCGCAGGACATACCACGTCTGAGAGCCTGGGACGGATATGGGATCCTTACAATTCCCGCCGCCAGTTTTCGCGGGAAAGCAAATGACGTAAGCAATAATATCACCGTTTCTTTTGTCTTCATCTGGTGGTGCCCACGTTATATTCACAGCGGTATCGTCCAGGAATTTGAATGTAATGCGTGTCGGTGAACCGGAAGGGACTAAAAGAACAAAAATATTTACTTCAAAGTTGGTTCGAATGGCGGACACGTCAGGACGAGGTCATAATACTGACGGCTCCTGTCGATTGGCCTATGCATAAATGAAACCAATGGCGTACGGGAGGAAAAAAACTAGGGGGGGGGGGGGTGTCAGAGAATAATTTGCGCGTCTTTGTTGCATTCTGTCCGACCATTTCCTTGCTAAACTTCCAGAATTCTTGTCAAAAATTCTTACCGCTGTTGGTGGGACAGGAAACATTTTGTTTTTTATTTGTCTAGATAGAAATTGGTCGTTGGTGTTCTCTTCCTTAATAAATTCGCCATTAAATAACTAATGGTCAGTCCAATATGACCGTCTAAAGGCTCGTTATTTAGTTTTTAAAACGTTTCAGAACATGAAAAGAACTATGGGAAGCCATATACATTTCACGTTATTTCTTGCAAAAAAAACGCCGGCATTTTGCCTAAACCTTTACTCATTGTAGTCGTTTTAAATAGTCTGGCTTCAAAGAATTAAATCAAATCTATCCAGTGCTATCTTAAGACCAGTGCCTCCAACCTGTTTCAAGAGTCTTGAACTGACTGACTCGTGCCAGTCCTTCACCAAGGTCGCTCACTCCTGAGATCTCAAGCTGGTATTCCGTATATGGGTTGAGATTGTGGACGAGAACTCCCGCAGTCGCTACGCTCTCAAACATTTTCTGTGAAGTTTTTCCTTCCTTTGTTTTCCAATATCTGACGTAATATTTCTTGATGGCTTCGTCGCCTGGGTCTGGGGTTGACCAGGACAAGATAGCAGATGATACGCGCTCTTTTACAATAACTGTTGGGTAATGGGGCAGTTCTGTAGAAGAGAATTTGATAATATAAGACGCGATATCCACAATGTGCCTCCGGTAACATGACAAGTCACATTCTAGTCAAATAAGGTAGAGTAGCGCTGTCCTTACCGGCAATGGTTTTGGGAACAAATTATAGCTGTTCTTTGTATGTTTGCATGGCGATAAAATATAATAGTTTTGTTTGTGGAAACACCACGTAAATTCTTTACTGTAAAGCTTTCGATCCGTAAGCCCGGATCTTCATATTATTAGCACTGATGAAGATTCGGGCTTACGGATCGAAAGCTTTGCAGTAATAAATTTACGTGGTGTTTCCACAAACAAAACTATTATTATTAAATTATAGCTGGTTAATTCATTATCCGTCAAGAGGAACTACTTGTGCAAGTCAGTTCGTTTGTCGTGTTTATACACAGACAGGTTATTAGATTAACTATCTTCTCTTTTCCCAAGTTCTTTTACAGGCCATCTACCTGTCTTTAGGATAAATTTTACAATGCGAGTATAAAGCTGTGATCTGTCTCTGGGAAACCAGGTTTGAACCGACCCATAATCATTCCTCTTCACGTGCGGAACTCGTTTCAAAAACAAAACTAAGATTTCAACTTACGGTGTCCACAAACGTCAACCCTCATGCAAGCCACACTTCCCCATTCCAGAGGAAGAAATCTGATGAACTTAGCTCTGATGGCGTCGTCAAATAATCTTGTTTGAACGTCCTCGTTTCCAGATGCTGTGTTACCCTTGATTACCTGGGGAGAGAAGAAGTCCCTAGTATAAGGTGTGGTTGGGTTAGTTTGGCCATTGCACGCGCATCAATTTCAAATTTTTGTGTGTTGCATTGTGATAGTATTGAATGATGAATTAATCACATATCTTGACTTCTGCCTTCGGACACGAAGTTATCTCATAACTCTATGACAGAAAGTTCATAGAAGCATGCGTGTAGACCCTGGTAGACGCTGGTCACGTGATCTGCTAAATTTCTAATTAACTATCTTGGATATTTCTTGGATTCCTTTACGACGACATACAAAATGCAAATTATAAATTAAACTATAAAAATCATCCAAATATCAAATATTTATTGACCTCGTCTTGGATTGCTAATAAAAAATCTGCTAGATTTTAGCAAATCACGTGTGAAGCGTCTACCAGGGTCTTTTCTCCCCTCGCCAAGAGGAAGATCCTGGGCACGAGGTTGCTACTCTCGATGATAGGAACTTTGATCATACCTGACGTCCATCCACTGAGGAATTTTTCCATTCACGACCATCAATACTGTACGTTACCCTGTATGACGTCACGTGTTCTGCATACGTCACACCTCCCAGGGTAGCAACCGCTGACACTAGATACAGACGTGGCAACTCCACCTCTAAGTAATGTTCAAAGTCCATATCAATAACTTCAGGTAGACACCAGTCTGCTGTAGATTTGAGCCGAGCGAGGTGTGGTGGGTTTTTATCTCGATATGTGGAAGCACTAAACGACCAGTCATGTACAAGGTTTTTAGCTGATGATACTATTGGTCGCTTGCATACCTCGCCTGAAATGGAATAGACCATTTCAACAATTACGACGCCATCTTGATCCTAAATCGACTGCCCGTAGCTACACAATCGGTAGATTTCTGTAAAGCCGGTACAGACGAGCAAGTTCTCTATGACAAGTTTTTATGTGACAAGTTTTATTTGCTCATCTGTACGCACCACTTTGACAATTTTTTCAATGACAAGGGCACTTGTTCAAAAGCTAGCCTGCTAGCTTTTGAACAAGTGCACTTGTCATAGAAAAAATTGTCAAAGTGCAAATTTTGTTCGTCTGTATGGGTCAACAAAGAAAACTTGTCAAAGTAATCTGAGCATTTGATGTGATTGGCCAGCTGGCTACTAATAAATTGTCAAAGTAAACTTGTTGACACGTTCACACCAGTAAATAAAACTTGTCATGATATGAAAACTTGTCATATAAAATTTGTTGCATATACACACGTGCACTTGGCAAATAAAACTTGTCACATCAAAACTTGTCATAGAGAACTTGCTCGTCTGTAACCGGCTTAAGAGTTGCAGGACAGCAGACCTTAGAAATGTTGACACTTATAGTAGCAAGAAAAATTAAACTACATCTTCCAATTCTATTTATTTGCCACCAAATACAAGACTACTACAATATACTGAAAAGAATGAACATTATTTTTTCACTCTGATAACTGCAGTTTGACCACCATCTGCTTCACGATATTGTTGAGAGAAACCTATATGATGACGCTCTGTCCGACTGGAGATATTAGTTCAGTTATATTTAGGGTTCACTGACTTACACTGAACAGTGACATCTTGATCATGACTACAACTATTGTCACCCATGGTCTTATGAGTACAACCAAAGATTGATCCCTCGTTACCACTGCATACCACACCATCTAACCAGACAGTCCCAGTCCCCGGATACTCGTGATTAACTGCGCGACCCTGAACAAAACCAAGCTCCCTGCACACGACATCTTTGTTGTTGTCGTGGGAACTCCAGCCATTGCTACACACTGTGCCCCATTCCCCTTTGTGGTATACTTCAACTCGGCCTTCTAGAGGAATTATAGATCCTGCCAAACGAATATTTTTGTTACCTAAAAGGATAAATGAAATTTTTAAGTTTTCTTTTTAATACAGTTTTTGGGCTACCAGGGTCCCATTTGGCCATTTGAATTGAGCTTTTGAAGAAATATACATAAACGAGAAAGCTTTCAGGCGCATAAAATGCGCGTATAAAATTTCAATAAAGTTCGGTGAAAAATGAGGCGCCAGCCTAGTTTTTCCACGTATTTTGAGTCGGAGATATTTTATATGTCGGGAGTAAACTGCTTTTCAGTTACAGTATATTACTTCTCAAACGCAATACACCCTTTCGACAATAACGTCACACATACCTTTTGGTTTAGGAGCCTCGCTCTCATTAGTAAATTATGCAAGGTGATTGGCAAATGATTCCATTTGGCTCCCAGTCCAAATGGCGTAATTCTCGAAAGGATGGAATTTTGGAAGTATTAATTTTAATTCTGACTTACCGTTTACAAGTATACTGAAGCCAAATACAACACAAACTAATGGCCATTTTTGCAAAATAAAGTTATTTGCCATGCAGTGTAATTTCAGACAATCTGTAAAAGCCTTTTTTGGCCGAATTTTAAGGCATCGCTTAGGTTACATTTTATGACGTCACCGTATCATGACGTCACTATATGACGTCGCTGATTGCCCAAATTGTCAGCCTGCGTACTTGGCCCGCGTGCAGGCTAATTGGAATCTCACAAAAAATTGCATGGGCGTGATGTGGTTTTGCAAGAGTGGTTCTTACATAAAGTATTGGGGAAAATCCAAGATGGTGGACGCGTATGACTTATTTCGTCGCTTAAGTTTTGGGGCAAAATTCGACAAGAAAAGGTTTGAGAATAGTTTTAAAAGACTCCAGGTAGGTTTCAAAATAAAGTACAAAAGGTGAATGTGTGATTCTGACATTTTGCTAGCTTGCTTTGTCTGTAAACTGATGTGTAAAGTGTAAAACTGTAAACCAAAACTACCGAAAAAAAATGAAAATCTTAATGCCATGATGCATTTATATTGCAAAATTTGCATTATCACCTACGTTTTGAGGGAAGATCCAAGCACGTCCTGACATCAACTGTTTTAAATCTTCTTTTCCTGATAGTTCAGACACAAACCATGGCAGTGTACTTGTAGAGTACTACCTATAGTGGACCTGGATCCCCATGAGATATATTTTCAGATAGTCAGACACAATACATGAAGTTTATATTGTGGAATACTACATTACTACCCACACTGGACCTTACCATATATAAGCTAATATTTGATGCAGCCTGGCATGATATTGGGTTGTTCCATAAACGATCCCATTCCCCCCACAGAGGAAATTTCTACCATCTGGAGGGAGAGGGGAGGACCCAGACTGGAAAGTTTGGAAATTGCGCGCCGGAGATTTCGAAAATTTAATAGTAAATATATAGAAAGCATCCAGGGGCGGAGCGAAGACTATCCTTTTCGGGGGGTGCAAGACAACTTTTTGCCGACAAAAGGGCGTGGCTAGCACGTTGTTAGGGCGTGGTCAAAACGAACCGTCTTCACCCTCTGCCTCCTCCGCAGGCTCCTCTATATAGATCAAATTTAAATATCGGTAATATATAGATCAGCGCATGCACTGCAAGCCCGATAAAGACGCACGCCTTTAGGCGCATGCCCGCAACTAAGGACGAGCGCGCAAAGGAAAATGGGAAGACGAAAAATTACGAGGGAGGAGCCTGCCAAATCCTGTGTCGAAACTGTGCAAATGTGATCGAAACTGTGCAAATGTGATCGAAACTACGAAAATAGTTTTTTTTAGGCGATGGAGGAATCACTTGACGACAGTGGGCCGTTAATGAGTTTAGAAGACTTCCAGTTTGATGATAGCGATGATTTAGTAGCTTCTTTCAGCTTCTTTTAGAAGCTTCTCAATGCCGTCCGTATTATTTGATTTCCGTATAAACATATGACGGGAAGATTAAATATTAAAGAACTTTGCGAATATTTGCAGTAGAAATACGAAAATACCACCAAAAAATTCCGCTTGAAAGAAACTATATACTCGAACAATGTAAATGGCCATAAAATATAAACTAGCGATACTCGAACAATGTAAACAATGTATCCCTAATTAAGCCAAACCTTTCGCCGAATATAACTTCGGCTCCTTTCAACGTATCTTTTTCGTATTAGTCTTGTTCGAATCACAATCCAACACACTATTTAGAGTGTTATTTTCAAGCTTGTATCTGCAGATTTGTATCTTTTATTTCGGTATTTAAGAATATCTAAATTTCAGCCGGTGGCACGCGCGTGCGAGTAGAAACCTGATATTTTGAAAAATTCAAAATAAATATTTCTGCTCGTCGTATTCAAACGAAACTTTCTACATAAAATCGCTTGAATACAAGGAGTATTTTACTGCTATTGACTTGGGCGAATTCTGAAGAGTTTAGAAGATATTCAAGTTTTTCTCGATATGAAATAAGAATGTTTGGCCAAGCAGCAAGTAAATATACGATTGTTTTGGTCTGTGTCATGTTATGACGGCATTTGACCCCCCGTTCGAAAGGTTATTTTATGAGGATTTCAATGATGGTTTTCGTTTTAAAG